AAAACCACTGTTCTAGGGCCATCATAGAAATCACTGGAAGCTCACACCAGAAATACATTCACTTATCTTAGAACAAAGATGCCTTAAACGATTACTGATAACAACCAGTATGTTTCTCTAAAACCTAAAATTGATGAAATACATGCATAAATAACGAAACATACAAATACTTAAAGAAACTAACTGTTTACACTTTTGCAATAACCTTGATAACGCACATGATAATCTAAAACTTTTTGGAAGAAATTCAAGTCTAACTTCCGAGAAAAGCAATAACAACATGTTCCACCACATTAAATATAACATTATAGCCAAAACAGACATCGAGAAAGCGAACCTTTCAGGACTTAAACTCCCCAAGCTTTAACCAGGATGACCACAAAACTGTAGATAACCACGCAGATACACATCCACTTATATAATCCCAAGTTTCCAGTCAAAAACTTAAACACTGATACACTTTCCAGCAGTGACAACATTCTAAATTGAAAAGTCTCTAGAGATGAATTAAAGGTTATGGCTGTGTTAGAAGTATAATTTGTAAAAAATCATCAGATAATCATCAGCAAACACATCAACTACCTTAGGCTTATAACTGGGAAAGTAAAGCTAACACTATCTTAAAGATCTATAAAGAACATATCCGACCCATTATCGAATACGGCTGCCAACTTACTCTAAAAATGTCAGACAACATACTTAAGGAACTACAATGGCAACCGAATAGAGTATTAAGGTTAGCCCTAAGGCTTCCAAGTTACACCCCGTTAACCACTTACACAAAGCAAGTAGATTATCATTAGTCAAACACAGACTAAATACATTGGCTAAAATGATTACATAAAAAGCAGAAACAGGAAACCTCTGCCCTTCACACCATTACATGTGCACCACACAAAACAATATTTTCATAGAATATGTATTGCAGCCAAGTAAAGAACATCCACACCCCAAGCGCTTTGTTTAAGTTTATATAACTAATTCCATGTCTTTGCCTGACAGTTTGAGTACAGGACTGGTAGATTATTCGGCGCCTGTTCTATGAAAGTGTGTTTTCTCGGGGTACTCTCCACCCCACAAACACACAACAAATTCTATGGCATTGGACTTATTGATCCCAGTCAAGACATTGGACTTATTGATCCCAGTCAAGACATTGGACTTATAGATCCCAGTCAACCTGTGACCCTGATTATGAACCGTTAATCGAAAATTGTCGAAATCAGTGATGTCAGCCTTGGCCATCTTTGCCTTCATTTCGTAATCTCTGCCTTTACCAGTTAATACAGTTATTAAAAGCCCACTTTAGTTCAACTGTAATCTTCACCATTATCCTTGAACATGCCAGTTGAAGAAAGCTTCTTTCCTTTTAAAACTAAACATCTACCACGAATAAAAAATAAAATCGGCAAAATTTATCAGAAATATTCGTTTTTATCAGAAGTAGTTGTAGAAAATTCGTTTGATTTTGTTAACAAAATCGCCGAAATAAACTTGAAATCAATGGATAAACTAATCTATTTTGACATTGTTTTGCTATTTACAAATGTTCTAGTTGAAGAAGCACTGGTTTATTTTGCAAATAGATAATTAGAGGTTAGTGAAACCATGAAGCTGACCCACGAGTGTGTGTGTGTGTGTGTGTGTGTTTCAAACTTATATTTTAAAGTAGGCAATAACTTTTTAAGAACAGATCAAGGGTTTAGCTATGGGATTTCTCCTACCTTGTCTTATATTCGAGTTATTTATATTCAATTTCGAAATTCGAAGTGAATACGTACAATATTTCTGAAGTGAAACCTTTGGTGTGGTTAAGGAATGTAGATAACACGTTTTTGGTGTGGTTAAGGTATGTAGATGACATGTTTTTGGTTTGGTGGAGCAACGTTAAGACATTAATGCAATTTGAAAGACATCTCAATTTGTCCAGTCCTACTATTAGATTTACACTGGAGATGGAAAAAAAGAGGGTCAGTTAAAGTTTTCAGACATGACCATCAAATTGGATAAAAGGCGTCTCTCAACGTCTGTTTATAGAAAACAGTTTTCTATGGCTGTACCAACACACAACAGATCGTGTTACCCACGGACACAAAAGTTATCCGCCTTTTCTATATTTGTATTTAGAGCTTTAAAAATCTCCACTCACGATTGTGATTTAAGGTCAGAGTCAATTTTCTTGAAACATGTAGCTAGAGATAAAGGATATAATCCCGAAATTG